GTGCGCGGTGCAGTACTGGGTAATAAAACACATACAAGCGTTAGTTGGCGTCCTACACTAGCTGCGTAGAGCGTATCGTTTTTTTACGCTCTCAATGAGCGTTGTTGGCTCTCTTGTTCTATTTATACTCTTTGATGCAAGTTTCATATACTTCGTGCCCAACGTACAGGGCGCAAAAGGCGCCCTTCCTTTTCCACTAATGGAGGAAAACTTTTTCACTAAGAGTGCATACGGCCATGCGATCCAGATTAAGTAAAAAAAAAATAGCTTTATTATTCTAATTAGAGACTAAAAAGCGTATATAGGCTATGCTAGGTAGGTAGAGCATGGAAATCCCGGTCCAAAAAGTGGTCTTAAGTAATTAGAGTTAGACCTGTATTAATATTATTAAATTTCCTGTACCAAAAGAGCTCCATTTTCACGTCATTCATAAATAACTAACTGCATACAATACTAGCGTTATTATACGAACGAGTAATATTTAGTACTTTTTTTCATTATTTTAGGCTAGTCTAATTATTTATTTATTTTTCTTCAATATCTTAGCTACGCAAGTCAATAGGCCTAGGCTAATTCATATGTCAAGTATAAAAAAACAAAATGTTAATATATATTTATAATATATATAGCTAATTTTTTGTTTAATGTCAGTGCAATATTTTACTTTTCTCTATCCTTTGGAAATCGATATAAATTATGACCCTGTTTGTATGTGTTGCAATTTACTGCACAGCAACGTCCTCCAATACCGTACGTCGCCATAGCGCATCGCGGTGTACAATGTTTTAATTGAGAATTGATTATAAAATACGCGACGACTTGGTAACGAAAGTTTGGCACAAGTTTTTTTAGATCCAGCTGTAGGGGGCGTCCCATTGTTTGTATTCCCACCATGCATTTCGGTGGAACACGGTGGAACACTTTTTTTGTGTGGAAAACTCTATCTTGTATTTCTAGTATCTTTGATTATAAGATAATACGCCCGCGCGCGATCCAAAGGCGGGGAACACATTGGTTTGTCGCGTCAAAGGGATCTGTTGCCGAGTGATCTTCTCAATAATACCGCCATGATTCAATCATGATTCAACCATGGAGGTATTTTATTGAGAAGGAGATCACTAGAAAAAAACATACGCTCACGCAGCGCTATGCAAATGAACCAAGAACAAAGAAATCCCAAACGTAATCATATTTTCTAAGACAAAGAGTTTAGAATTTAATGAAACATTTACATCAGCTTTAAAAGTATGGTATAATTCAACTTGAATATCCATAAATTGGATAAAACTCGATAATTCTAATTTTAACCTATCGATCTTTAGACAAAAATGATAAACTAATGAACACAGAAGAAATTTTAACAGGAATATTTTGCGGAATCTGTTCCTGAAATATACACATAACAACATACTAAAAGTCCCAAAAAAAATCCAATCAGGGGAACGCTTTATTTAACGCTTTATCGCACAACTACTGTGCTGAAGCGTATAAACGCATGTCGTTGCCCAAGTTGTTGCTAACGAAAAATGTGAAATAGGGTAATACGCCCGCGCGCGATCCAAAGGCATACAATGGCAATGGTTATGTTCTCACACGGCAGCTAACGGTTAGCAGGATCAGGATCCTGCTAACCGTTAGCTGCCGTGCGTCCATGCGAGAAAATCCCGATCCGGATACCAACAATATGGTGATCGAATCACTGGCCAATAAGAAACTGGAAATTGCAAACGCGTACTTGTGATTGGTTGATGATAGAAACGCCCTCAACTTGCTAACCGATAGCGCTTGCTAACCGTTAGCGTATCCACACATCTAGATGTGTATAAGCGGATACCGCTAACGGTTAGCGCTAACCGATCGGGCGTTCTCACGCAGGTGCTAACGGTTAGCGCTAACGGTTAGCTCCCGATCCGGATACTAGGGCTCTCGTGAGAACCAGGCTTATTTTCTCACATGGCAGCTAACGGTTAGCAGAATCAGGATTCTACTAACCGTTAGCTGGCGTGTGTCCATTCGAGAAAATACAGATCCGGATACCAAGAAAATGACGACATTTTAAAGTCACTCAATCGGAAGTCAACCGATAGATCATTCGCGCGAGAATTGAAAACAAAATTTCAAGGTTGATGAAACAGATGCATGATGAATATTCTGCCCATATGTTACCACTTATTATACCGATGCTTGATATAGATTTCAATATTTTTGATAACGTTCAGTTATCATTAATTTTCGGTCTATTAAATACAGTTGTAGTATGTAGAAGGCGACGTTTAGACATCCTTCACCAGCTTAAATTGAGCCAGGCTAGATACGCAACGGAGCAGGAGCGTTTACTCGCAGAAGGAGAAGCCCTCCTCCATACCCACAGACGCGGACGGCCCAAAACTCGTAGATTCTGGGTTAAAAATAACAAAGACCGGAATTGGTGGGAAAAAACAGTATTGCAAAAATGGGATGACGACGATTGGCTTGATAATTTCAGGTAAAATGTTAATTTAACTTATTTTAAGTTTTGTTTAGCCGAGTTCAGAGCTAGGCCTAGCCTAGCCGGTTCGCATACAGTACCCTCCTTTCTTTATTCTGTCCTATACGATATATACATCATGATAATTCCTTGACCTTATCTGCTTATGCACGTTGCCCCCTCCTTGTCGGCAATAAAGTAGACAAGCTAGGAAGCTAGGACTAGGTACAGAGGCCAAGGCCTCGCCCTTTAGAGCATTATAATACTGAAATTGAAATCTAATTTAATAATAATATGTCAAAAATAAATGTGCCTGATTGATGTCGTACATGTTTTTTTTTTATTTCGAATAATTTAGTAGCAATTTATATTATTTATGCATCTATTTTAGGACGAATCGGGAGACATTCTCGTATCTTGTTCGTGAACTGCAGCCGCATATTCGAAAACAGTGTACAAACATGAGAAAAGCATTGATGTCTGAACATCGACTGGCGATTACTTTATATCGGCTCTCCTCTGGCATGTCCTTTAGAGCTATTGCCAACCAATTTGGGGTAGGGAAATCTACAGCCTGTAATATCTACCATGAAGTGTGTGCTGTTATAGAGCAGGAGTTGATGCCGAAATATATCCGGTTTCCAGAGGGACAAGAATTACTGGTATGTAATATCTATACATGCTAATATAGTGTACTGTATTTTTAAAGTAATTTTAAAATGTCATAATTATTAGTTTTCAGTGCCGATGCTTATATGACTACACAAAAATACACAAAGTAGTTAATTAATGCATTATGTGTATACTATATAGGCCTACTAAAAAATATCTGTTGGAAAATGTACAGGCTTTACTTTTCAAAAGCAAATTTTATCTACCTCACTTATTTGTTCAATCTCACTTATAATTTCATGTCTTTTGTTGCTTTAACAGCTGAATGTGGAGAAGTTCAAGATGAGAGGAGGTTTTCCTCAGGTGGTAGCTGCCATTGACGGCTCCCATATTCAAATTATTGCCCCAGATGAGCAAGCACAAGATTATTTCAATAGGAAGCAGTTCTACTCAATAAATCTCCAGGCAAGTGTTGATTCAAATGGACTTTTCTGCGACACACTCGTTGGAATGCCTGGTAGCGTTCATGATGCTCGTGTGCTAAAAAGATCTGCTTTATATACAAAACTAAAAAATGGAACGCTATTCAGTGTTAACAGACCAGTGAAGGTGCAGGGTGTTGAGGTACCTTTAATGGTAATCAGTGACCCAGCATATCTCCTAATGAAAAATCTTATGCGACCCTATTCCGGGCAAAATAGATTAACACCGGCGCAAAATCGCTTTAACTACAAATTGTCACAGTGCAGGGTTGTGGTTGAGACTGCCTTTGATAGATTAAAGGGGAGGTGGCGGCTCCTCCTTAATAAAAACCAACATGACATTAGGAATTTGAGACAGCCATAAAAGAATTAACGCATCTAGATTAGGATAACAATGCATTTTGGATAATAATCAAATATATGAAATTTTGGATGCCAAAATATCTGTCAGTTGTTTAAAATAATTTGTTTTGAAATTAAAAAATTGAAAAGGACATAGTTCCTGTTGCCTTTGTTTACAGTATTTCACTCATTCATCAATCAGTACACATTGCATGATTCTTTTCTCTTTGGAAGCAAGCTTCATTTATTAAACAATAACACAAAAATTAACAACTACATCACATGGCAACCTTTCCTTTATCACTACAAACCCAACCCAAAAAGTTCAAATAAATAAATTTTCAACCCCTATTATGGGGATCACAATAACAATAATAATAATAATAATAATAATAATAATTCAATGAGACTAATACAAAAATAATTTGCGTTATGTTATGCCAAATGCTCATTTAAATAGCCTCATGATGGTTGGAATACATCGTGATAGGTGAAGCAACCTCGACCATGACAACGTGGTTGACAGATTTCATGAAAAATTTCCAAAATATAGAATTTCACTTTCAAGAATGAGGATTTGAAAATAAATTAGATGGTTACATTGCATACTCTTTGTTTCTTGTTTTATCAAAATGTTTTGGTTTTGGAAGCTGGTGTCAACATTAGAAAGCATAGCCTACATGAAGTCATATTTTAGCAACTCGATGCCTATCAAATAAGTAATAAAAAATCGC